ACACGCACGCACACACACACACACGCACACACTCGTACACACACACGCACGCACACACACACACGCACGCGCACACACACACGTATACACATACATAATAAAAAGAACAATACTGTTCATTAGTACATTTTGAAGTGAAGTCAATATTTATATTTAATACATTTTTAACTTAAACTGAATAAACTTAAAAATATTTAAATACAGTATTTTGATAAATATTCACTTTTCTGAGTGGTTGCTAGGGCTCAGGTTCTTCCTTCAATGTAACATATGGGTTCTTTTCAGCGTTTTATCACCCTTTAGTCAAAAATCACAAGTCTGATGACTGAGTAAAGTAACAGCACACCTCTCTTGAACAAACTGTACGACTTGAAGAATCGTTCATGTCAAACAGTGTGGGTCGAATTATGAGCCAGAGTTTAATAATCACAGTCAGGGGTTTGTTTTAAATCTCTAACCCTTGGGATGAGCAACAGCGGTGCTCTCCTTATCAAACACCGCTAATTATGTATTTAATCCATTTTATACTGAGTCTTTCCTGCGGTTGGCGCATAAACTCACATTTACAAATTTACAGAGCAAATAATTCACTCAATCCGCCCCTCAATACTCACTCCGTCGGAGCATGAACACGGACAGACGGCTCTGGAATTTCAAACAGGTTAATAAACAGCTCTGGCTTTTGTTTCCTGTGAGCCGGTTAAAAAAAAACTCATTCAGATGACTGATTCTGGAATATATATTGTCTAGTCGCATCTCTGCAGAGAAACAGCGGAGAAAAAAAACAAAAGGTGTATAATAACAGAACAATTAAATTAACCAGGGACGTAATTAAGGTGTTTGTCTGGCTGTGAGTGGGTTTTATATTTAATAGAATCGCTGCTGAAGCTGCTGGAGTGATGATATTGCTCGTCACATTTATTCACATCTCAGCGGCAGCTGTCAATCACGCAGCATCCGCGGCAGCACATCAGGCGGAATAAATGAATGCAGCGCTGGCATTAGCATTTGCCGAACGGTCTCGAGAGAGAAGAGACAATCAGAGAGCAGCACAACACTCTCACTCGCTCCCACCTGTTGGTCTTCCAGATGTGTATGGTTTCTTCATCTACGTTCTCATGTCTAAGGGCTTGCTCATCCAGGAAGTCAAAAAAGTATTTAACCGCCGGCGGGACGCTGGCGCCAGAAGAGAGCACACTGCGAAAGAAATCATCCACGAACTGCTGCAGCGTACCCTGAAAACACACAGACACAAAAACAGGTTAATTAGAGTTTAGCACTTTCAAATGCATTTCATTTTAAAAGTGCTGTAAGTGTTTTTTTTAATGCGTAAAATGATTCTTCTAACTCGCAGTTATCACTAAAATTCTCTCTAACGGCCCCAGGCTTTCGTGGGGGGGGAAAAAAAAAAAAACCTTTCTCAGATTTGATGCCATTTGATGTTTTTATTTTTATTTTTTGTAATATTTTATAATTACAGGTTAATACACACACACAGACACACACACACACACACATCTAAGAAAACCTTTTAAATACACACATATATGTGTATACACATACATACACATATATATATATATATATATATATATATATATATATATATATACAGTGGGGAAAAAAAATATTTACACACACACAACATACAAAGTACATATAGTGCATTAAATACATATACATGTCTCTCTCTCTCTCTATATATATATATACAGAAGTCAACATTTGAAGTGGATCAAAAAAGTTAAAGTTTTCCTAAGAATGGGTATTGTTTTGGTTTTAGGATAACTTTGATGAAAGGTTTTGATCCACTTCAAATGTTGACTACTGTATACACATACATACATACATATATATATATATACACATACATAGACACTCTCTCTCTCACACACACACGTATATGTACATTTTTATTTATGTCATTTTAACTCTGCAAACCCCCAGAGCTAAAATATAGAGGATATAGCCTATTTGTCATATAAATGCAAAATGAAAGGAATTCAAATAATCAATATAACTTAAAATATTTAAATGATAAAGAATTAAAATTGGTGAGCAACTAAAATATTTTTACCTTTAACTATTGACAGCTCCAAATTATATAATTACTAAATTATTACTAAAAATAATTCAAATGTACAAATAAAAAAATAATAATTAAAATAAATATATAATTTTTTGTTTTTTTTATATTTTATGTTATATTGAGTTAAATATTTAACAAAAATGTGTTTTTTATAAATGTTAAGTCACTTCAAGTAAATTATTTGAGGTTCAGGTGACAAAAATGGTTGAAAACCCTTGATACAAGTTATAAAACCTGAGCTCTGAAACATCACGCAGATCTTAAAAACCAGCAGAAAAGCATCTCATTTCTTCACACGTCAGCCTGCTAGGTCACTGACAGTCACACATACGCTTTGAGCGGCCTGACGGTTGAAGCTACACGCTCACTTGAGCGCTTCTCATCTCCACTACGCTTTATTTCTGTCAGCACTGACAGCTTTACGTGCCGCTGAATTACTCCTGTACAAGGTGAAAGACTTGCGAATAATTAGCCTCTCTAATCGCCCAATTTACAGAGAGCGGCCTCTGACACAAGGACATGCAACAAACCAATCAAACAGAATTAGACTTACACGCTGTGAGTTAAGAGAACATGCGAGCACTCAGAAGAGTTCCTAGAGGTTTATGGAGGTTACAATAACTATATGACACACGTCCCACATTATATGCAATACACAATAAAGCGCTATATGAATGCATCATTCATTCATATGTAGCCATATGCTGTAGGACTGTTCACAAATCACAACTGATTATGCACCGTTTTCATCTTCCATCAAAATGTACATAGCTAAAATAATTTCTTAATCAGCGGACGGACTTTTTAAAAATTGTTATCTAGTGAAATTATGTCTAATACAAGATAAATGTACATGTTTTTAGAGAATCAAATGTATTTTTCATACCTTTTACAAAAAAAAAAAAATCGAACAGAATCCAGTCAGGTGCCTGTTCAATAATGTAACAATAATACATTTATATCAATTATATGTTCTCCAAAAAAATAAAATAAATGTAACAATATATTAATTCAAAAATATAAACAATAAATAATTTGACAGTGTCAAATAAGTCACATTTATAGTTTTAAATGTCTTTCAGTTTGAAGGGCAATTTATTTTCATTCATAAACTGATCATTTATTTCTTCATTTTATTAAATGGCATGCTCAGTTGTCTATGCAATGTTGCTTTTGACATTAATTTTCGATACATTTTATTGTCGTTTTACAATTTTAATGATTTTAATATTTCACATTTAAATATTTTATTTATATAATAATTGTCTCTAAAACATCTTTTCTCCTGAAGTACACAAAACCACAAAAAAAAACAATAATATCATAGTCTACATTTCACAATCCAAACAAATCTGGATAAAATCCAGTGTTATTTTAGCATAACTGATATACTAATATAATTTTTTCTTTCTGCTATGAATTACATTTTATTATGTATTTTTATTTATTTTTATTTATCTTTAGTTTGAGTTATTTTAGTACAAATTAAACTAAATTTGAGTTCAAATCAAACTAAACAAAATTAGAAACGATGCCTTGATAACTAGCTGCAATAAAATAAGTTATATTATTTCAATTGACTTTTTCGTCAAGGTTTTAGTTTTAATTAACATTAATAACCCTGATCAAATCACGTCCCACCCTTCATGATTTACCAGCAAAAATTATGCAAGTCAAATATAATTCGTTTTCTAAAGGAGCAGCTCTCATTTAGTGAGAAGAAGAGGTCAGTACCTTGACGGAGAGCAGTCGGGTCAGGTATATCTCAGTGATGGCTTTGGTCATGGATTTGTCCTTTATACTGCCTCTCTTAGACTTCATCTCATCCAGCTCATCGGCCGGTCGCACCAGGTGAAAAACTTTATCATCCTCCAGCAGGGCGTTTCCTGTGAGTTCAGGTGAAGAGAGTGTATGCGTCAGAGCGTGAGCGACGGATCACACTTAGAAAGCAGACTTCAAACTCACTCTCTTCGTGGTTATCATGATTTTGGTCGTACGACTGCTGCGTGTGCTGCACTCTGGAAAGGACCACCGTTGCATTATCGCATACCTAAAAGCACAAACACACACAAAAGTCACGCTTAAGACACTCGTATCTTTGCTGGACCCAAAAAACAACATATGCGCTCACGTTATAGTGTGCCAGCGTATTGATACGTCTCCATCTGCCCTCCTTCTGCGACGTCACGTCTAGATCTGACAGGATCTGTCCCGTGGAGCCGGGCCGCCATTCTGTGCAAGAGACCAGAACACGTAAAGATGAAGCAGCGTTGTGCTGGATGTGAAATCATAACCGATTACACACGTGCGCTCACTCACCGAGGGTGACGCTGTCTACTTTGGGTCTCTGAGAGTGCGGCTGGTTTTTGTACACCTGCTCGATGATCTTCTCCTTCACCTGAGAGATGGTGTCACAGTTCAGCACCTTCACGGGGGTGATGTCGGGCCCCTCGCCCTGAACCTGCACCTGCAGCGTCTGGGGTCAGACAGCAAACTCATACTCATACACATGTTCTGAACATCCTAGAAAATACTACTCGTTCATGAAGTGACAAAATCAATTTCCCTTCATCACCCCTTTTCTGGTCAAATAATGTGTGAATAAAGTGGCAGTATATTTTTACATCTGATTACAGATATAATAAGCATATTAAAATATATATTAGGAATGCACCGATAGCACTTTCTTCCATGACAGGTACGATACCGATACTTTCATTTTTGGCACTTGCCGATAACAATTTCTTAAGATTTTCATTGCATTTGTCATTTTTTTTAAATATTGGGTAGAGAAACCAAAAGAATATGAATCGTATAAGCTGGCTTAAATTTTTGAATGAATAGACGTTCCTTTAGTCATTTTCACACTTAATTACTCGTGAGAATATATGACAATATTTATTTACTATTTATTTATAATAAATATATTTAATAAAATGTATTTATTAATAGCTTATTTAAATATAAACATTTAAATTATATATACATAATATTTAACACTGTAAATATTAATAATACATTAGAAACATAATTTAAATGATATAATACATTTATATATAAACATCTATAATAATTTAAAATAAAATATAATTTACAAAAAAAATCATTTATTTTTATTTTATTACATTAGATTACTAGTATTATTTCGTTTTTGATTATTTAAACTATTTAAATTATATATATATATATATAAACACTATAAATATTATATTATATATTTTAATAATTTATAAATATAATTTCAATTTATATAATATACATGTATATAATTTTTTATTTATATTATGTGTAATATATAAATGACAAATATTATATTATACATGTTTATAATACATTTGTAGTAAATGTATATAATTTGATATAAATACATTTTACAAATGATATAAATATGAATTTGCTTTATTACATTGTTTTCGCTTATTTATTCAACCTGCTTCTTTATTAATTAAACTGTAGGAAATTGTATGAATGTTTACTAGACATGCTTTTATCTTAAATTTGATTGAATGTAGTTAACATGCATAAAGAAGACATCATTCTCATCATGATGTTGTAGCGCCACTAAAAAAAGTCATTTTAACTCTGGCCAAATCACATCCGGCTGTTGTTAGGACTTCTGAATGTGGGAACTTCCCAGAGGGACTTACAGAAAACCTCTGAACAAACACACATACCAGCACAATGTACTCCACGTCATCTCCGAGAAGGCCAGTGTCATTCAGTGTGTATTTGGCTTTCTTGACCTGTGCGTCCACCGGCCCCTTTTCAATCTGGTGCTTTATGGCTCTGAAGAGTTTGTAGAGCGGCTCTCCGGCGCTGTCCTAAACAAACACCAGCACATTACATTGACAACCATTTCTCCACCTGTACATCCGCGGAGGCTCTGAAGAATCTACAGTTCAAGTGTGTGAGCGACTGAAGAGCTGACTCATGCAGATGAAGAACAGACGCTACTGCATTAAGCACCATTATCATCACACTCATGAATATCAAAGCTTCACAAAACCTTCAAATACTAATAAAGCCCATCTAATATAATATCAAATGAAAAGTGTTGAAGTGTGTAAAACTTCCTGAAAGATGACGCTTTCAGATCAAGATTTGACTTGATCATTAAATCCCGATGCATTGTAAAAATGAAACATGAGTGAATCTTTATGAATGTATTTCATGTTTAATATTTTACCTTCAGGAACTGATAAAGACAGATGGACATCCAGTTACTCAGCATCCTTTCCACCACCGTTTCAGACCTACACACACACACACACACACACAATAATTAATATTCACTAAAACAGTGTTTCCCAAACTGGAGTTTGTGAGTTAATGAAAAGCTAATAATGAATTAAATCATAAAACTGTAAACATGAATACATAATTTTATATAAAATGTATATATTATTTTATATATATATATATATATATATATATAATTTAGATAAAAAATAAAAAAATAATTTAAAATAATTAATAAAAAATAAAAAAATGAAAATGTTATATTAAAACACTTACTAATATTTACTAAAACAGTGTTTCCCAAAATGGAGTTCATGAGTTGCTAAAAAAACTATAAAATTAATAACTAAATCATAAAAATGAATAATTTTATATGAAAATCATAAAAAATATATAATTTCACAAAAATAATTAAACAGTTTAAAACAATAAATAAAAACAATAAAACAAAAAAGATTACCTTTATATTAAAACACTTGCACACACTTACTAATATTCACTTCATAGCTAATATTTAATTAAATTATAAAAATGAAAAATGTATAATTATATCATAAAAAATGAACAATTTTATATCAAAATAATACAAATATTTTAAACAATTAATAAATAATAAACAACAATAAAAAAACAACAAACAAACAAACACTAAATTATTCTGACTAAAGAAGTTTGGGAATCCCTACCCTAAAACACTGATGCTTTTTCCTCTGCAAACCACCTAATATTATTTTCTATTATATTATTAAATCTCTGAAATGGTTTCATTTGACGCCGATATCCAATCTGATCTGTTAAACACTATATTAACACAAGTTGCTAAACAGCCAGCAGTCAGGCTAATGAACTAGATCACATGACTTGTTCTTGTACTGTATATAAGAACAGAATAATTGTTTATTATGATTATTATTAATAATAAACACAGTTATTTATTGAACATGGATGCGTTTTATTGTCTTGCGGTTGCTGGCTGTTCATGAAAGCAACAAGCTACTTGAGGCCGTACGTCACAGTGATCTGAAGTGGTTTCTTAACTGTGGTAAGATCAGTGTAACGTACGGCCTCCAGCGGCCTACTGCTCTAATCAACACTTCAACACTCATCTGACTCAATAACAAACAAGCAGAATTAGCATCAGCACCCAACTATGACAATCAAACAAGCATGTGAACATGGCGCTGGAGAGTTCGGAGCATGCGGATGGGCTTTGGCACAGTGAGGTTTGTGTTGTTCATGTAGAGACTTTTGACTAACATGATATGTTTTATGTGACATTTAGAGGTTGGCTTTGTGGTCCATCCAAAATTAATAACCATCTATTTCAAAGTCATGCTTGAGGATGTCTGCTTGTCTTTAACTGCCTCAAAATATAACTTTGAATATATATCATATTATATATGATTCAGTGCCACAAACCTCATAAACAAACTTCATATGGGAAATCGTGACTAGTCATGCCTTGAGAACATCCCGTCAAAACCTGACCCAAAATCAATGCACCAGAAATGAAATATATTTTACAAAAAGAAAAAGAAGCATTTTATTAGGAGCATTAAGATTTTTTTCAACAATTAATTTTTGACAACAAAGACAACAATATTAATTTGACAATGAATGACGATAAATTATTTTGCTCCCATTTTCATTGTTTTAAAGCATAATCATATTACTGCAATGCATATAATAAATATATATATATATATATATATATA